AGAGCAGTCAGTGGGCGGTGCAACTGAGTGAGTACAATATAAGCTATGCGCCCCGCCCGGCGATAAAGGCGCAAGTGTTGGCTGAGTTTGTGGCTGAGGGGGTGATAAGTGCGGGAAATGGCACGGAGGAGGCATGGCAGGTCTATGTGGACGGCGCAGCGAGTAAGTCGGGCGCCGGAGCTGGAGTGGTGGTTGTGAGCCCCTTGGGGGTGACGCATGAATTGGCCCTTCGTTTCGCAACCCTGAAGACCAATAACGCGGCTGAATACGAAGCGGTGATCGCCGGGCTTCACACGGCTCGGGAGCTCGGCGCCCAAAAGATTCAGCTCCGCTCGGACTCGGCGTTGGTAGTAAATCAGCTGAACGGCGTATACGAGGTGAAGGAGTAGGCCCTAAGTACCTACGTTACCATGGTAAAGGCAAAGGGGGCGTGGTTTAAGGAGGTGGAATTCATACATGTGCCAAGGGAGGAGAACGCCCACGCGGACGCTCTATCCAAGCTCGCCACGGCAACTGACTTCGAGGAAGATAGGCAAGTCATCGTCACAAAAGAGCATTCAGTGCGTGAATATGTTATAGGAGCGATCACCGATTCCGAAGAGGGTGAGAGCTGGATGTCACTAATCAGGGCATACTTGGTGCAAGGGATCCTCGCGGACAACGACAGGGACGCGTGGCAGGTGCGACGCAAAGCCGCGCGTTGCACGCTCATCGATGGCCGGATGTACAAGCGATCGCACTCCGGTGTCTACCTAAGGTGCCTCACTGAGGTCGAAGGGAAGCAGGCAATTGAAGAAGTCCATCAGGGAGCGTGCGGCATGCATGCGGGAGCACGCAGTCTCGAGAAGGTACTGTTGAGGCAGGGGTACTACTGGCCAACCATCAGGGCGGACGCAGCGAAACACGTGGCCAGCTGCCACCAATGCCAGATACATGCCAATGACATCCACGTTCCCGCTGCGCCTATGCGCGGAAATGTGGGTGCATGGCCGTTTTCCCAATGGGGCATGGACTTGTTAGGACCATTCCCCAAAGCGTCCGGGCAGATGAAATACCTGATAGTGGCGGTGGACTATTTCTCCAAATGGATCGAAGCCGAGCCTCTGGCGTCTATTACTCAGGCGCAGGTCCGTAAGTTCACAAACAGGAACATCTTTACGCGTTTCGGGTTGCCCGAGGCCATAGTGACCGATCATGGGAAGCAATTTGATTGCAAGCAGTTTGTGGACTTCTGTGACGAAAAGGGGGTGATTCTGCGCTTCTCATCCGTGGCTTATCCTCAGGCGAACGGGCAAGCAGAGGCTGCTAACAAAAGCATTCTGCACGGGCTGCATACGAGGCTTCTGGAGGCAAAGGGCAGATGGGTTGAGGAGCTCCCGAGCGTGCTATGGGCACACAGGACGACATACAAGGTGGCAACAGGAGAGTCCCCATTTGCACTGGCGTATGGAAGCGAGGCGGTCATCCCGGTGGAGTTGCGCATCCCAACCTTCAGAATGGCAAGCTATGAGGCGCAGGCCAATGAGGGAGTGCGCGTGCACGACCTTGACATGCTGGAAGAACGGCGCGATGTCGCTTTCCTCCGCCTAGAGGCTATGAAGCAGCAAGTGGCGAGGTATTATAACAAGAAGATGCACCCTCACCAAATACGGCAGGGGAGCATGGTGTTGAAGAGGGATTTCAGGCCCAAGGCCAGTGAGGGAAAGTTAGCACCGAAGTGGAAGGGGCCTACCGGGTTCGTGAGGTGGTGGGGCCGGCAACGTTCAAGCTGGAGCGCATGAGTGGGAAGAGCATCAAACGCACATGGAATGCGCAGAACCTACGTGTCTATCACAACAAGGAAGAGGAAGAGTTAGTGGGGTGAGACCAAGCAGCGAGGATGGGTAGAAGGGGGCAGATTTTGCGTAGGAGGCAGCCAGGAGAATTGAGTGTATCAAGCGCTCTAATCCAATGGCGCCCGTAGTTATCTAAGTAATTCCAAAAGCGCCCTTCCAGTTGCGCCCTGACTTGTGAGTAGTTTTTGTGGACAAGTACCAAGTCTGTGAGTAGTTTTATCTTAAGTAATCCCAAAAGCGCCCTCCTAATTGCGCTCTATGTTTGTCAAGTTGTACCTGCAAAAGCGCCTTTCAGTTTGCGCCCTGTGATTTTCTTTCAAGTAATTCCAAATGCGCCCTTCCCATTTGCGCCCTAAGTTGTGAGTAGCGTTTATCCAAATAGTTTTCAAAGCGCCCTCTAAGTTGCGCCCTATGATTGATAAGCGGTACCTACAAAAGCGCCCTTCAAAGTTGCGCCCTATGGGTTTCGTTCAAGTAATTACAAAAGCGCCCTTTAAATTGCGCCCTACGCCTGTCAAGCACACGACCAGCTAATGCGCCCCGCATAACGCCCCTCGCGTGATTTCAAGAGCGGGATGGCAAGGTAGAGGCAATGCGCCCCCAACGTAACACACTAAACGTAAAAATAGAAGCAACTAATGCGCCTTGCGAAAGGCGCCGATGGTCAATATAGGTAACACGCAAACGTCTCAGTCAAGGCAGGAAATACTTAGATTTTTGGATTGTTCGAAAAGGGAACGCAAGCATGGGAAGTAAACGTCTAAAAAAAAAAAATTTGTTCCAACACTTCCTTCCTTAACCTTCAAACTCCTTCATCATCCGCCTCCTCTTCATTCACCTCCTCTTCCTCGTCGGCTGCGCCGCCCCCCTCACAGGCCGCTGCGCCCTCAGTGGGTGGGGCTCCATCACCACCTCCTTCCGCTCCACCCCCAGCTGAGACAGCGGGCTCCGAGGCGCCTGAACGACTATCCATGGCGGACACAACATGCTCAATCAGAGCAATCGCGTCGAACTCCACGTCGGGATAATCCGCCTGGAAATTGGCACGTAGTGTCTCCACAGTCTGAATGATGACGTTGGCTTGGAGATTCTTACCGGGGCTCGACTCCGGGTAGTTGGTCAAGTCTTGCTCCAGCTGCCCGGCAACCTCTTGCGCCTTCTCCAGCTCATGCTTGTAGTGGTTCCGGGACTTCTTCAGCTTGCGACTGGCTTTCTCCAAGTCTTCGACAGTGGGACGGAGCACGTTCACCTCAGCCAGCAAGGCGTCGCGCTCCCTCACCAGCGCAGCATTCTCCTCCCGGAGTTTCTTCTCCGCACCTTCCCACTCAGCCTTATCCAAGTCGGCCTGCGCCTTGACCTCCTCTTCGACCTCTGCCCGGGTTTTGACGCGCTCAGCTTCCAACTTCGCCTCCAAGTCTGATTTGGTGGCTTTCAGATCGGCGCGCAGGCGCTCCGCAGAATCAGCAGCATTCGCCCCCTCGCGGGTAATGGCAGCAATTTCCCGCCAGGTGGCTTCACATAAAAGCATCATCTAGGACGCACAAACACAAGGGTTAGGCAATATAATTGGTAACGAAGGACATAAGTAATACCTCGTGCGCCTCACAACCAGCATGTTACCTGAACGCTCATGTTGGTTAACCTTTGCCACGACTTCGCGGTGATCAGGCCATTGGGGTGCTCAATCGCTTCATAATGCGCCCTAGCCATCTGAACGGAGGCAGGGATGTCCTTCGCCGCCCTAACCGGGACGTCCACGGCTACCTGGATTAAAGGTCGCTGGGGTGGCTGGAGATAGGGTGGAATCACCTGACCGGTGTGCGCCCCGATCGTGGGTTCCACGAAGCTTCGAGGCAAACCAGGCTCGTTGACGGTGGCAGTCTTGGGTTTTTTTCCCTTGTCAGGAAGAGCAGCGCCTGCCCTTTTCCGGGAAGCCACAGAAGAGGGGGACGGAGGAGTGCTGACTCCGGTGGTCTCCCGGGGCGTAGATGCGGACGAGGGAGTCGAAGAAGAAGAGGCGGGGCGCCCGAAGGGAGAGCCTGGACCTCCCGTACCTTCGCCTGACTCAGCAGGCAAGGGAGACTGTACGCGCCTTGAAGTTGAAGAAGAGGATGCGCCTCGCCCTCTCCGAGGCTGCGCCCTCCTCGCGCGAGGCGCCCGACTGTCAGACGCGACTGGGTGGACATTGGCATTTCGAAGAAGGTCGAGTCTCGACCTAATCAGGTTGGTCACCGAAGTGAAGTCGGTCCTTGCATCACAAACAGAGTAACATTGGGTTAGAACGCAAGGCGTCAAAGAAATGAAGGCATAGTATTAGAGACGCATATGCAAGAGAGGGCGCATGGCTACTACCATCGCCATAAAAATCAGCGAGAACGCGGGCATACTCATCACCCACCTCAAGGTCGATGGGATAAGTCGATATGGACTTTGCCATAGCTTCCTCAGTCTCACTGAGGGGCTCCACCTTGTTAAAAGCGAAGCGTCTTCCCAGTGACCACGTTGAGCTTATTGGGCGCCGACTCTCGAAGAAGGGGACTTCGCGAGGTTTGACAAAAAAGTACGAGTCAAACCACGAGCGCCCCATCTTCACACAGCTACTTACAAAGCTGTACCAAAGTGACGTGCGCCTTTGCAAAATAAGGCAGTTATCACTAGCAATCATTTTAAAAAAATGTTTAAAAAGCTTGAAGGTGGGGGGAACGTGATGACGCCGACATTGGTAGCGGAAGACGACAGTGGTCAAGACAACAGCGGGAGAGAGGCGCGCAAGAGGGCAGGCGCATGCAACCATCACGCCTTCAAGCACGGGGTCTATGTGGAAGCGCAGGCCGAACCGGATAAACTCCTGGTACAAACCCACCCACCCCTCGCCGCACAACCCAATTCGAGCATGGGGAGGCGCGTGGATGTAACGCCAGGGCACAGGCATTTGGGCGCATACAACCAACTTCTCCAACCGCACTCCTAACTGTTTGGAAGAGTGATAGGGACCAACCTCCTCCAAAGGGAGTGTCCAGGGGTTCTGGGGCGCATAGCCAGGAGGCCACATCGAGTCCCACGGCCTGAACACGTAGTCCTGAGGCACGAGGGCGCCTGAGTAAAAGAAAGGACGGGGAAAGGGTAAGGCATTGGCCAGAAAAGGAGGCGCGGCAAAAAAAAAAAATGTTTGGGGGGCGAATTTACATGGGCGAAGGCGCCCGGGGAATCAGCGAAATACTAGACGAGGGCGGGAGAAACCAGCGTAAAGTTAAGGCGCATAGGAAGAGACTTACAGGGTGCTGCAGGGTTGTTTGTCGCCCCAACTCCAGCGTGCGCCCGAGGCACAGGCGGCGCAGCAGCGGCAGGAGGCGCGGACGACGAGGAGGGCGCATTAGCAGGAGGCGGGGAAGGCTCTTGCGGCAAGGCGTCCGACCCGGTGGAAGGCGCACGATCGGTGGTCGGGATAGGAATCTGACGAGAGGACGCCATGGCAACTTGAGGCGCACAAGGAGGAATTTGAGAGCAAGGAAGCAGCTTGGGGTCTAGAGCGAGGAAGTAGAGAGAGGTGGGGGGCAGGTTATGAGAGCAACTGAGGGGGAGAAGGGATTTTATAGGGGGGCCAAGCGAACGGGGGGAGAGAGGAGAGGAAGGCGAAAAGGCCTCCCCAATCCCTTATCGATTTCAAAATTCGAATTTTGAATCGCAAGCGGATTGGGGGGGGGGGAGAGAGTGGAATCGCAAGAGTCGCAATGGCGCGGAAAGAAAGGCGGAAGTGGAATAGCCGCGGGAAAAGAAAATAATAAGAAATAAAAAAAATAAATAAATATATATATAATAATAAATAAATATATATATATATATATATATATAAATACGTAGTAATAATAGAAAATAGTAATGATGATAGTAAGGAGTACGTAGTAAAGGAAAGAAGATAGTGCGAGTAAACAAGAGGGGAAAGCGCGCAACCAAACAGAGAAAGGCGTAGGCACTTCAACGGAGGCGCATGAGAGTCAGAGGAAGCGCGCAGACCCGGAGAGCAGCAAACATAGTCAGGCCCCTAACCTAGGGTGTTAGGCGCCTAACTGGGGCCCAATTGTTGGGGGAGTAAGTATGGGCCGAAGACCAATGCAATAAGAAAGGCCCAATGAGAGATGCAAGTGGGGGGCAGGCATGGGCCCAAACCGAGAAGCACAGACGAGCCCATGGGAAGTACAGTTCTTGGGCCAGGGGGCGCGCGGACAGGAGTCTGACTGGTCAGAAGGATGTGGGGGACAGGTGGGACCATGCTTCCAGGGAAGGCACATAAGACAAAAGTAGCCAACGGTCTTAAGTGTATGAAAAGATGACTGGGTGATGTCATGCGCCTAAGATCTCTGGCTTGGATGTCAGGTGGTCGAGGCGCATGTGCGGGGGGAGGTACGGTGCATTTATTGCGGACCTGACACAGGGCGAGGGCGACGTGTACCGGTCACCCTCGCCCCGGGTATAAATAAGTCAAGTAGGTGAACCTCATTTACTCAGTTTTACTTCTCTTACTAGAACTATTCATTCACTTCTCTCTCTAAAACGAGTAGGTTCTTACTTGAGCGTCGGAGTGCTAACGAGCCACACGGTCCGCTAGGTGCTTGTGTGGGTGCAGGAGGTTCAAGGCGCAGGAGGGCCAAGGAGATAGGAGGGCGAGGCGTACGAAGGAGGTTCTCAGGCTCAAACACATGTATATATGAAAATTGGTGTATTGTAGTTTATATTATTTGGTGTTTGTGATAGTTATTGTGTTATTTAAATAAGTTATATTACTTTTTGGATGAAATGTCACTTTTACTCTTTGTTTTTAATATAAAAAAGCAATACACATAAAAAGCTAGGGGCATAGTTGGAAAAAATAAAGCACAACAATCTCACTAAAAACTTGAGATTTAACTATCACTCATATTGTGCAGAAAATTAAAAAAAAAAGACAATGCATTGTGAACAATACATGGATTGTAACTATCCCAACCAAACAATCACCAAAACCAAACAACCCTATAATTTTAGATTCAGATTCTCTAAAACGTGGGCCTCGAAATTGAAATGATGTGTTTAGAATTTGCTAAAACGTGGGCCTTGAAATTGATATGGTCAAGGCCTTAATTAAGTGAATGGGAGAAACAAACTGGACCTGTAGACCCACTATGGTTTGGCCCATGTCGGAATCATTTGTTTGATACCATACCAGTACCACACATAAGCCTCTCTTCTTTACTTCTTTTCCTAATTCCTACCATCACTTCTCAATTTTGGTTGGTTTGATAAATTTAGACGGCTAGCAGGGTGGTGTCATATGTGGCAGATGACATGGCGCCAACAAGGTGACAACATGGCGGCTGCACATGTGGCGTGTATGGAAGACTAGTAGTATAGAGATGCTCTTAGAATTCTCCACCTTAAGAGAGCTTAATGATGCACTTATGAGTCACATAGTGGGTGACATTTATAGAGTGTATTATGAGGGGACTTTATGGGTGATGTTGGGTAGTGATGAGGGGCATTGATGCTTAGCGCTCTAACGGAATTGAGGCCGCACGATCGAGACGAGAGTAAGGTCGTGACAGTGGTCTGTGGTTGTGTGGGTTAGCTGTTACGCTCTGTAATCCTGGATTCTGCAGGTGGACTCATTAGAGGAGCTGCAACTTTATGGTTCATAGATCCGTGAAATTTGAAATGGCTGAAGCTCTTGCGACACAATTCAGAGTAAAGGTGGAAAAGTCGGAAATAGTAACTTCTGAGTATGGCTGGGTTTGACGTTTGATTCTGGCAAAAGTCGAATCGTTTATTATTTGTAATAATTCTTGTTTAGCATCGAGACTCGCGAATCATCTTGACTCGAAAAATGTTCGTTCGATTCGAGAAAAGCCGAAAAGCTCGACTGAGTTGTCAACAAGTCGAGTTTGAGCTGACCATTGTTCAGCTGGCGAGGATCGTGAATCAGCTTGATTCGGTGGCTTGTTGAGTTCAACTGGTGAACTGCCTCATTTTGAGCTCATGAGATGTCTCAATATTGTGATTAACGAGCGAACTCGACTACCATCTTATGAGAAAATCGAGCTATGTCTTATGTGAGAAAACATGTCTCGTTTATAATTTAAAAGATAAATGATGTATTATAGATTTATTAGAAAATATTTAAAATAAACAAGTTGAGTTGGAGCTAAACTCATGATTTTAATGATGATCCAAAATTTTAATAAAATAACCGACTCGAACTCGACTCAATTCAGTTGATTGATAGACAAGCAGAGTTGGAGTTGTGACTGAACAAGACAAAACTCACCCCAACTTGATTCATTAACAATCCTTCTTCCTTAATGGTTTGATTGTGGAAAACAACTAGTCAATTAAACATTAATCAAAAAAATGAGCAGCAATTAATGAACCAATGCCGAGAGAAAGTTGGTACGTTATGTATGAGCATGAGAGGAGAGCTAGGTACTTTGAATTGTGAACCAAATATTGTTATACTAATATTGTGACCGGCCGGTTGGTAAGTTTTCTCGTGAATTTTGTAGAATGTTGATTGCGGGCAGTAGTGTTTCTTCCATCAGTTCCGCTTCATGTTTTTATTTCCTTTCACTTTTGTAATGTGCATTGTGGTGTGGTAATGGCTCTTCTCTCATTGATTTGCGATAAAATCCAAAATTATAAGTTTTACAGATGTTGCGACCCATTAAAAACACAAATAATAATAATATCATAACAGACCGTTTGGTACCAAATGAATCGAGAATTCATTTCATTGTAAAATGAATTACCGTGTAGAATTCATTACCAAATGAAATCCTATGTTTGGTATCTTATATTCAAATCATTGAAGTGTGGTGTAGAATTCATTGTCAAATGAATTTCTGTGTTTGGTATGTCATATGTATAAGTAATTTAGTTAATAAAAGAGGATAATCATGTCATTCTATTATAATTAGTAAATACTTTTGGAATTCTTTTGGAAATTCTATCTCAATTCCTCGGAATTGCTATAACTAGTTCCAATTTCGTAGAATTCAAAATTTAGAATTGAAAATGCATTCTTTTTAATACCAAACACAAAAATATTTCATTTCAAAATGAATTCTTCAAAACTTATTGAATTCATTTATACCAAATAGTATGTAAAAATTGGTGTTTAGACAACATAGTACTTTATATGAATTTTTAGGTCTGATCATCGTTTTGCTACCAAGCCCAAACGCTCAACAAATTATTCTGACAATTGCTACAAGTACAATACCTTGAAGCAGTGGCGAAGCCACTTGGAAAGCTGGGAAGTGCTTGCCACCCCCTTGGACTGGAAAAAAAAATATATTCACCCACAAAAACACAATTACATATAGACTTCCTTCCAATCTCGATAGGTAAGTTTTGTGATACAAGTACCATTCTTTATTGTTTTTATTAGTAAAAAATTTCTCCTGAAACCTCAAGTAATTAAACAATTTCCATCCCACAATTAATTACAGTTTTATGAGGTCAATTGTCGGTTTTGTTATATATGAATTGCTTAAATCCATAGAGGGGTCGTTTGGATTAGGGAATGTGTAAATGAGGGATTTGGATTAAAATCTCTCAATTAAAAATCCAGGTATTTTAAATGTGGGATTTGATCCAAATAACATGTTTGGGAATAGATGAAGGATTTTAATTAAAAATTAAAGTTACAATTATACCCATCCCTAATCCCTAAGGAAGAATAAGAAAGGAAGAACAAAAGGAGGGGCAGAGTTTGGAAAAGAATGAGAAAAAATGAGTGATTGTGAAATAGCTGATCCCCATCAGCAATTTTAAAAACTCTCATATGAGAGATTTAGAATTTCCTCATGCCCACAATCTCTCACCTTTCCAAACGCAGAATTGTTTTAAAATCCTGCATAATGAGAGATTGTTTTAAAATCACTCATAAATCCCTCATCACATTCACTAATCCAAACGACCCCGGAATTCTTTTGTTGTTTTTGACAAGAAGAAATTGATTCAGCTGATTACTTTCTACCCCTACCAGTTCCCTCCAAATCTTATGAAGTTTATTGGTTATCAACGGAATTCATATATGTGTAATCTACCATTCGATGATAGGTTCAACGACTTACAAGGGGTGAGTTAGCAAACAAAAAATGGTTGATGGCTTTTCTGGTGAATCCGATAGGTCTATTTTCTATCAAGGATTAGTAGGAGGTAAGTATTTAGTGGATTTTGATTGGCCATGGAGGGTGATTTTTAAGAATGTTAGATTGTAGACAATGCCTCTTCCATTTGTTTTGCTTCTTGTTCCTCTTTCCTTCCAATTTTGTTATGTCCATTGTGGTGTGGCAATTAATCTTCTCTTGGTGTAACGGGTTAGTTCGTATCGGACCGAGCCGGAGAAAAAAGATGTTTGTACTCGATCATACCGAATCGAATATAACATGGTCTGATTCTTGGTCCAATGAATTTTATAAATAGTTAAATATTTAAGAAAAATGGGCTGAAGTAATCTTTGGACTGGACCAAATTCGGACCAAAACGTACCAAAT